AAAAAAAAAATAGTGATCACAAAACATTAACTAAATACCAATATAAAGAGTAAATCATAATAAATTATGGCACAAATGCATATTTATGTTCCAAACTCTGCACAATAACTCTGTCATGAACAAATAATCATTTACACGTTGACAAATATCAAATTGATTTACAAGTGCACAAAGTAGTATTCATCCTCACAGGGTCACGAGTAGCTGCTTCTGGGGATAAAAAATAATTGAAAGAATGAGAAATGGTTGCACTAACAATGTTAAAATCACAAGAATCTATAGATTGACATCATTCATTGATTTCAACTTTGCAACGAAACTTGAAGTTTCTGATCCATCTCATCAATTGCTATTATCTAAACGTAAATCGTATATGTAAATAAACAATACACCTAAAAAGGATTCCTAAAACGCTAATGAAAAACTAAACCTTGGACCCAAAACACTAAAAGATGAGCACATTTGCTACTCTTAATCTCAGTTGGGATATCACAATGGCCTGGGAGTGCAAGGTTAATAATAAGGTTGTGCATGGCTTAGATGGCAGCCTCCGAACGGTGGCTGGTTTGCCCGAAGCCTGCGCGCAGTGAGACCCGGAGCCCAAGCAACGACGGCCGTTGGTTTCCAAGATGTGCAACTAATTAGTCAAGACAAACTGTACAGTTGACACTACAACCGTTCACGATGGGGTGTTCATGTCCATCTGGGTTGTGAACCACTTATTCTTGTTTCGCGAGTAACTGATAGCATGATCTTCGGTTTGCCCGATGACGACCCACACTATCTAATGCAAAACGACAGAACGTAGAACTTGTTTAATCTAACATGTTTCTCATTCATAAAGGGTAAAAGTGTCATATCATCCAAAGCCAAGCTTTCAGTATATAACACTAACAATCTCCCACTTATACTTAAAGCTTTCGCCTTTACAAGTATAGTCCTATCAATCTGTTATTCTAAAAGACCTATGTCGATCCTATCGCCATGCACTTGACTCCCATTCCTGTCACGTGTTTGATGAAGACCTTCTCCAGCAAACTCTTCGTGAAAGGATCAGCTAGGTTGTCCTCAGATGCAATCTTGGCAACATCAACGTCTCCTCTACCAACTATCTCTCGGATCAGATGGTACTTGCGCTCTATGTGTTTACTTGCTCTGTGAGATCATGGTTTCCTTGAGTTTGCTACTGCTCCACTGTTATCACAGTACACGGTGATACCACGTGGCAAACTCGGAATCACCTCTAAGTCCACTAAGAAGTTTATGAGCCAAACTTCCTCTGAGGCTGTTATGTACTCGGATTCCATGGTGGAGTCTGCCACGCATTTCTGCTCAGCACTCCTCCATGAAATGGCTCCACCTCCCAAGGTAAACATATAACCAGAAGTTGACTTACTCTCGTCTCTATGTGACTGGAAATCAGAATCACTATAACCCAGAGGTAACAAGTTGTCTGCACGGTAAACTAACATGTACTCCTTAGTCTTTCTCAAGTACTTGAGTATATGTTTCACCGCAGACCAATGTTCCCTACCCGGATTACTTTGATATTTGGCTACTAAGCCAACGGCGTAGCTGATATCTAGCCTGGTACAAAGCATAGCATACATAAGACTTCCTACTGCCGATGCATAAGGAACTGTCTTCATGTCCTCAATCTCTTGAGGCGTCTTAGGAGACATCTCCTTAGAGAGAGGGATTCCTTTCTTGAAAGGCAATGTACATTTCTTGGAATCCTGCATGTTGAACTTAGCCAAGACAGTATCTATGTATGATGACTGGGATAAGTACATAATTCTCTTCTTACGGTCTCGTACGACCCTAATACCAAGAATGTGTCCTGCTTCTCCTAAGTCCTTCATATCAAACTGCTTAGACAACCACACCTTTACGTCTGACAACACCTTCTTACTGTTTCAAATAAGAAGTATGTCATCCACGTACAGCACAAGAAACACCACCACGCTTCCACTGATTTTCTTGTACACACAGTGCTCATCCGGAAATTGAGTGAACCCGTACGACTGAATCACCTCATCGAACCGAATATTCCAAGATCTCGAAGCTTGCTTCAATCCATAAATGGACCGATTAAGCTTACACACTAGATGCTCACGTCCTTTTGCAATGAATCTCTTTGGTTGTTGCATATAGATGTCCTCCTGAAGGTTTCTGTTAAGGAAAGCCGTCTTGACATCCATCTGCCATACCTCATAATCCATATGAGCGGCTACAGCCAAGAGAATCCGAATGGTCTTAAGCATAGCTACTAACGAAAAGGTCTCATCATAGTCTATACCCCCAATCTGGGTATAACCTTTCGCAACAAGCCTAGCTTTGAAGGTTTGCACCTCTCCATCCAATCCTCTCTTTCTCTTGTAGATCCACTTGCATCCAATGGGTCGTACCCCATCAGGTGGTTCTACAAGATCCCTGTCCTGATTGGAGTCTATTGACCCCATTTCAGCATTCATTGCAACATTCCATGATTCTACATCTTTATCTTGGAGTGTCTCGTTGTAGGTTCTTGTGTCCGATTCTAGGTTTCCTGGAACTGAGCCATTAGACTCTTTAAGTCCTATCCATCGGTCAGGTAATTGAGAAACCTTCCCACTACGACGAGGTACTGTCTGCACTGGTACACTCTCAGTGTACCGTGTTGCAGCATTATGTGATGTATCTACTTGCGCACTCGGTGGGGAACTATTGACTTCACCCCTCAACTCCTCTAAGACTAGTCTACTCGCAGGCTTGTGATTCATAATATAGTCTTCTTCCAAGAATCTAGCGTTCGTGCTAACAATCACCTTCTGATCATTGAGACTATAAAATAATCCACCTTTCGTTCCCTTGGGATAGCCTACAAACACTTGTGCTTCCGAACGTTCTCCAACTTGCCAGCTTCCTGCACTAACACGTGTGCAGGACTACCCCATACTCGAAACTGTGAGAAACTGGGCTTGGCCCTTTCCACATCTCATAAGGAGTAGTTTATGTCGACTTTGAAGGAACCATGTTCAGAATATACACAACTGTTTCTAAAGCCAATCCCCAAAACGAATCTGGTAACCTTGAATAACTCACCATCGACCTAACCATTTCCATAAGAGTCCTATTTCTTCGTTCTGCAACCTCGTTCTGCTGGGGCGTGTCGGGTGCAGTCAATTGGGATTCAATCCCAGCTTTTGATAAATATGTCCTGAACTCTCCAAAGAGCTATTCGCCATCTCGATTAGATCGAAGCGACTTGATACTTTTACCATGAAGTTTTTCCATAACTGCCCGATACTCCTTGAATTTTTCAAAGCATTCAGACTTGCAATGCAACAGATAAATGTACCCAAATCTCGAGTAATCATCTATAA